TGTCTTATAGGGTTTATACTGAGTACAATATTGTATAACTGTATCAATTCAACTGTAAACCTAAAAATTTAGAGCCAATTTTGAAAGAGATGCAACTTAGCTCTGGAAATTGTTATTGAATATGTCAATGCTGTTGTAATGAAATGCTTCTTCTAATTATATGGTTATTAAATAAATAATTTTAAAAAAACCAACAAAAGGACAGTAATGAATAAATGAGGACTCTTTGCTCAACAACTAAAAACTTATCTGGCCAGCAAGCACATTTCAGTCAACATGGAGGTAAGGCTTGCTAGTTTGAATACTGAAAACACTAGTGGCCCTATGTATTAAGGGAATCTCAATTGATAGGTTGAAAAAGAAACCTTTGAAAATAGTCCAAGTTAGGACCAGTAGGAAACTACTAAGACAGAACATTCACAGTCCATAGAAAACCAGAGCCCCCAGAAGTACTTTCTCCTAAAACAAAAGATATACAGTTCTGTAAGTACCAATGAGTTTTAAAAAGCTTTGCTGACCAGGGCCAGTGAAATGGCTCAGTGGGTAAAGGTGCTTGCTGCCAAGCCTGATGACCTAAGTTTGATCCCTGGTACCCACAGTGTGGAATGGGAGAACTGGCTTTCTCAAATTGATTTCTGACCTCCACACATGATTGTGGTGACACACACACACACACACACACACACACACACACACGCACGTAATTTAAAAAACAAAACTAAACTTTGCACCAAGTGTGGTGGCACATGCCTTTTAATCTCAGCATTCAGGCGGCAGAGGCATTAGGCTCTCCATGATCAAGGCCAGCCTGGTCTACATAGCCAGTTCCCGGCCAGCTAGAGCTATAATGAGACCCTGTCTCAAAAAAACCAAAAACAGTAACAACAAAACTTTGCAAACCAGAGAATTGGGGTCTTACCATGGGATTGATCCTCCTCTTTTCAGAGGCCTCATGTAGGCATGGATGACCTCAAACTTGCTATGTAGCAAAAGATGACCTTGAATTCCTGATCCTCCTGGTTTCACTTCCTGAGCCCTGAGATTGCAAGCATGTAACACCAAGCCTGCTGGACAAGCAATTTCTTTTACAGTTGTTGCTTCTTGAGATTGTTTCTTTATGTAGCCCTAACTGGCCTGGAACTCTATATAGAGCAGGCTGCCCTCGGACTCGCAGAGATCCACCCAGCCCTGCCTCCTGAGTGCTGAGATTAATAGTGTGTGCCACCATGCTGGCTTGAACAAGCAATTTCTAATAAAAAAAAAATGATCATCCAACCTATGACCCAGCAATCCCACCCTAGGCATACAGTCAACAGAAATGAATGTACATGTTCCCAAAAAAACTCATAGTGATTTTATTCATAATAGCCAAAACTGACCAGCAGCAGAAGGATAAACTATGGGCCATTCATTCAGAGGAATACTTCTTTGCAAGAAAAGAAAAAAAAACTAATCCATGTATGAATAAATAATATAAATCTTTATATTAAGGGCTGGATGTGGTGGCATACACCTTTAGTCCAAGCACTCAGGAGGCAGAGGTAGGTGGATCTAGCTCTGTGAGTTCAAGGCCAGTTTGGTCTATATAGAGAGTTTCAAGCCAGTTCGTGCTGGACAGAAACTCTGTCTCAAAAAACCAACAAAAACAAAACAAAACAAAAAACTTCATATTAAAGAAGCTAGACAAAGCTGGGCGTGGTGGCACATACCTCTAATCCCAGCACTTAGGAGGCAGAGACAGGCGGATCTCTGTGAGTTCAAGGCTGGTCTACATAGTGAGTTCCAGGACAGCTGGAGCTACAGGGACACCCTGTCTCAAAAAGACCAAAAAAAAAAAAAAGCAGAAGCTAGACAAAATTGTATACGCTGTATAATTTCACTGACCTGAAATTCTTTTTAAGAACAATACTACAGCTGGGGATGTAGCTCAATGGAGAGCACTTGTCTGATGTGACAAGGCCCTGAGTTTGATCTCCAGCACCACACACACACACACACACACACACACACACACACACGCACACACACAAAGTAATGGAGCTGAGGCTGAGAGTGGTAAGAGTGTTTGCTTAGCATTTGCAAAGTCCTAGGTTCAATCCCTAGCTCCCAAATAACCAATACATGCAGAAGTAAGTAAGTAAATCAAGTGACAGGGCTGAGCCATGGAAGGATGATATTCTTCTCTGCTTAATCCAGGAATCCTTTCTAGGCAAAGTCAACTTTGTGAAGTACTTAAGTGATCAGGAAAGCTTGTTGTGGTGAGCCAGGGACAACAGTGGTATAAATGTTTCCTGACACAGGAAAGGCATCTAGATACACAGTACTAGTTGGAGAAAACTGGTTTGGGCGAGGAAAGGAGAAATGTTGAGGGTAGATCTGGCAGGCACCCCGTGCAGAGACACTGAGACTACCCACAAGGCACACTTGCCTTACAGAGTAGAAGTCTGGTCAAAAGTAAAAGGTGAAGATAATGCAGAGAGACCCTGACGGGACACTGAGACCAAGGCCTGGGGCCAGGCAAGAGAACCCAAAGATCCCGAAGACTCTGAGTGGCATACTACACCTCACATGTCATACTTAAGTTCCTGAGAAACAGGCCCATTCTCAGATCCTGCTCTCTGAAGATGAGACTGAGAGGGCACCTTTCTGACTTTAAAATTATAAGGAATCACAAGGCATTACAACTTAACTCTGACTCTTTTAATTGATAAAATCTATTATCAGTGCTCAATTCCATCAGCACCTCAGCCAAATAAAAGGACATCACAAAGACAGTAGTTAATTTAAATCTTTATGATTAATTACTCTACCAGGTAAACACTATAATGATAGAACAACCCCACTTTGGCAATATCCTGTGGTTGTGTTAAGGTAGAGGCTTTCCCTTGTCTCTTGGTGACAGTTTTGGAGGGGGCAGAGCCAGTATGAAACAGTCAAGTCCTCAAAGTCTGGACATAAATTTACTAATGGCTTCTTAATGAGGCCTTCCTGGAGTTGCTGATGGAAATGTACAGCTCAAGGCATACACCCCAGGGCACTGCAAACCACATCATTGGCTTCACAGCAAGTGTTTCCCCAAATTGAATGATCCTTGATCTGGTGTAGAAACTTGCCCCTTTTTCTCCAATATCAAAGTCCCAGTGCCCTTGTAGTGGCAACTGAAACATGGTGCTGTAAAATGGTATTGACCAAGACTTTCATGTTGGGATGGGGCAGCAGGGAGAATCTTTCAGGTTCTTGACTAGTGATCTGAGGAAGTAAAAACATCTCTGCTAATCCCAGGATGAAAATTACAAATGGATGACCACCCTAGAGCCCAGCACATTTTGGGCATTTTTTTTTTTTTTTGAGACAGGGTCTCCCTGTAGCCCCAACTGTCCAGGAACTCACTATGGAGACCAGGCTGGCCTTGAACTCACAGAGATCTGCCTGCCTCTGCCTCCCAAGTGTTGGGACTAAAGGCCTGCACCACCCTGCCCAGCTCAGCCCAGCACATTTTGAAACTGGTGAAGTCCCCAAGGACTAGCAAGTGCCATGAGATTCTTAGCAGTCTGGGCAATATTTCAATGTTAGACAATACCACACTTTTCTCCTTCAAAAACTAAGAGTCAGTGGATTAAACATACCATTTTATTTACCAAGATCAATTTTATTCTCAGCTAACAGCTCTGTGTTTTCCTTCAGAGGGTTTGATGCATCAGGTTTTGAGATTTACATGGCATTTACTATCTTCAGATGTGTTTAGTACCAAGTGGAGGCTCATTACAGCCTGCTCTCTGCCTTTCTCCCTCACACAGAGGAAACACAGGCAAATACTTGGCAAAATACATTTTAGGTCTGAGAGGAAAGTCCATGGTAGAGAGGATTTGCAACTTCTTCAAGTAAGACTGAAAAACTGGTCGCCCCAGTGCAAGCTCTGACAACACCCCAAACATAAATTGAGAGAGAGAGGGAACAGTCCCATTGCCCCAGCTACCCAACAATTCTCCCTGCTGTGACACAGAATTCAACTGTGTATGTGTATAATCTAAAGTTCTTGACTCTATTTCTGTTCAGAAATTAGATAAATCCAACACAGAGTCTAGCACATACCTGATCCTGAGCTAAGCATGGCCCCTCCATAGATGTCCAGAGCCAGCTGAGAATAGGCAAAGCCAAAAACAGTGATGGTCAGGCCGACCAGCAAGGCCAGCTTGAGAAGGGACTCCAAAACGGCAGCAGCCACAGCAATATCCTCCTGGGCCAGGGGGAAAGGAAAAGAAGTCAGCCAAATCAAAGTTGAAGGGCACCCTCATGCAGGCCTACATCCTGCACTGTTACACAGCTCACTCTTCCAGTGAAAGCCTCTCTCTTTTCTGTAGCCTATATTTGTTTTGATGATAATCAGTGAATGAAGGGGAGAAATAATTCATGTCTCCTTAGGTAGCAAGGGGGAGGCTTAATTTTCAACTCATTTTCTTTTTAAAAAAAATTTATTTAGCTGGGCGTGGTGGCGCATGCCTTTAAATCCAACACTTGGGAGGCAGAGGCCGGCAGATCTCTGTGAGTTCAAGGCTAGCCTGGTCTACATAGTCAGTTCCAGGACAGGTGGGGCTACAGGGAGATCCGGCTTCAAAAAGACCAAAAATAAGTAAATAAATAATATTAATAAAATATTTATCAGGGCTGGAGAGATGGCTCAGCGGTTAAGAGCACTGACTGTTCTTGCAGAGGACCCAGGTTTGACTCCCAGCACCCACATGGTAGCTACGAACCGTCTTTAACTCCAGTTCCAGGGGAATCCAAAGCTCTCTTCTGACCTCTGCAGCACTGCACGACATGGGTACACTCATATACATGCAGGTGATACACTCATACAAATAAGATAAAAAAAATAATATTTAAAAAAAAATTTTTTTTTGGTCTTTTTGAGACAGGGTCTCTCTGTAGCCCCAGCTGTCCTGGAACTCACTATGTAGACCAGGGTGGCCTTGAACTCACAGAGATCCGCCTGCCTCTGCCTCCTGAGTGCTGGGATCAAAGGCGTGCGCCACCACACCCTGCTTATTTTTTAAATTTTATGTGTATGAGTGTCTTACCTACATGTATGTAAGGCACCCATGTCATGCCATGCAAAGCCCATGGAAGCCAGTAGAGGGTGTCAGATCCCTGGAACTGGAGTGACAGACAGTTGTTAGTCGCCATGTAGGTACTGGGAATCAAACCCAGGTTTTCTGGAGGAGCAGCCGGTGCTCTTAATGGCTGAGCCAGTCCCCTCAACTCATTTTTGCTACATTATCATCTCAAATATCATTTTATCCTTAGCAGATTTTCACCTATGCTAGCCAGATCTTTGCTTCTGACCAACGGCACAAAATTCTGATGTTATTGTCAATGCATACTTTGGAAAATATTCCTAAATCAGACTGGGAATCAGATTATCTCATTTTCAGATACTGGGCACAAACTGTATTTTGTAAAATATCTTCTAAGACATGTAAAAAGTGGACCTAGCTTGCTTTTCATTGTAAGATAGGTCAGAGGGGACTGGGGAGGTGGCTCAATGGGTAAGAGTGCTTGATCTGCAAGCACAAGCACTTGAGGACTTGCATTCAAATCCTAGCACCAATGTAAAAACAAACAGAAAAAAGCTGGGCATAGCTGCATATGCCTATAACCCCAGAATTGGGAGGTGGAGATGGGCAGATCCAAAGATCTTGCTGGTCATCAAGTTTAGCCAAAAGGGTGAGCATCTGGTTCAGTAAGAGACCCTGTCTAAAGGAAATAAGGCAGAGTGACAGAGGAAGACCCCTGATGTCCTGCTCTGGCCTCCACATGTGCAAACATGGGCACCTGGGTATGTAAGTGCACCCATCCATGCAATGTCTATGGAGGCCAGAAGAGGGCATCAGATTCCCTAGAATTAGAGTTATGGACAGTTGTGAGCCACCATATGGGTGCTGGGAGTTGAACCTGCAACCTCTGCAAAAGCAGCCAGTATTCTTGACTGCTGGGCCATCTCTTCAATCACAAAATTTTTTTTTAAAAGATAATTCAGAATTTTCAGTGGTTTTAGAAAAAGTAATTTCTTTTTTTTCTTCTTCTTCTTTTTTTTTTTTTTTTTTTTTTTTTTTTTTTGGTCTTTTTGAGACAGGGTCTCCCTGTAGTCCCAGCTGTCCTGGAACTCACCATGTAGACCAGGCTGGCCTTGAACTCATAGAGATCCACCTGCCTCTGCCTCCCAAGTGCTGGAACTAAAGGTGTGCACTACCATACCTGGCTAGAAAAAGTAATTTCTACAAATACTCCTGGATTAAAATCTCTTCTGTATTGATTCACCACAGTACATACATTTTCAGGGTCAAGATATAGCCCTGTGCATAGCACAGTCTGTATAAAAGTTAAACTGTGGTGAGTGAAGCCTAGGGACCACATTCCTTCTTCCCCATGCCCAAGTTGGCCTTGTTCCAACCTCAGCATCCTCTGCTCTAGAGACTCTGAGAGTGGAAGACATATTCTTATACACAGGACAAGGCTATGGGAGGACATCTCTAATGCACTGGAGACAGTTATTGATAGTTCTAAAAGGGCTGGATCAAGAGTAAGGTCATGCAGAGCTGGGGATAGAGAGGATAGCTCAGTTGATAGAGTGTCTGCCTAACATGCATGAGGCCTTAAATCTGATCCCTACCACCACATACGCCATGTGTAGTGGTATATACCTGTAATTCCAGCACTCAAGGAGCAGGGAAGATTCAGAAGTTCGAGATCTGCCTTGACTACATAGTGAGTTCAAAGCCACCCTGGGGTGCAAGACTGATTAAAAAAATAAAACAGGAGGGGGAGGAAGTCTAGAAGGAAATTTCAGATAAATTGGAAGGAAAACAGACCACCCCACAGTTCTTTCTATTCACCAGGGAGATGATGACATGGGCGCTAACACTACCTGCTTCTGAAGCGTGGAATCCTTTTCCCTCTCCAGCACCTTAGCAAAGAATATATAAAAACTCTCCTCTATTGGCTGGAAAATCAACCTGGCCACAAGGGACCCAAGATTATTCACTATATCATATACACCTAAAAAACAGAAAGGGAAAACCAAAAATCACGTTAGTTCTTTTCTTTAATATTTTATTTATTTTTATTTCATGTGTATGTGTGTATTGTCTGCATGTAGGTAAGTGCACCTGTGTTGTGCAATATCCACGGAGGACAGAAGAGGCTGTTGGATCCCCTGGAACTGGAGTTATAGACAGTTATTAGCTGCCATGTGGGTGCTGGGATTCAAACCTGGGTCTTCTGCAAGAACAGCCAGTATTCTTAACCGCTGAGCCATCTCTCCAGCCCCATTAGTTCTTATTTTAACAACACTGTATTAAAATTATTTTTCTAATTTAATGTTTAATTTAAATTAAAAAAAAAAAGGATTTGGGATCTTTTTGAGACAGGGTCTCCCTGTAGCCCCAACTGGCCTGGAACTCACTATGTAGACCAGGCTGGCCTTGAACTCACAGAGATCTGCCTGCCTCTGCCTCCCAAGAGCTGGGATTACAGGCATGTGCCACCATGCCTGACTAATTAAAATTTTTTTAAAAACAGGACCTCATGTAGTTCATCCCCTTGAACTCCATAAAGCCAAGGATAACCTTGAACTTCCAGTCCTCTGCTTTTACCTCCTAAGTGCTGGGATTACAGGCACATACCACCACACCTGGTTTATGTTGTGCTAGGGATCAAACTCAGGGCTTTGTGTGTGCTAGGAAAACACTCTACTAATTGAACTACTTCCCCAGTCAAAATTTTTTAAATTTCAGATAAACTGTAGAGTCACATATTTTGAAGAAATGATAGAGCCATCTATACACCCTTTATTCACTTTCCCCAGATGGTAGCATCCTACAAAAACTATAGTATAATATTGCAACCAGGATACTACCATTGACATAGTCAAAATAAAAGATGCTTTGGAGCTAGGTGTGGTCATGCATCTAGTTCCAGCACTTGGGAGGCAGAGTCAACGAGGATCTCTGTGAGACTGAGGTTAACCTGGTCTTACATAGCCAGTTCTAGGCCAGCTAAGGCTACAGGAGAGCCTGTCTCAAAAAAAACAACCAACCAAACAAACAAACAACAAAGATACTTAAAAAATATAAAAGCCAGGGCTGGAAAGATGGCTCAGTGATTAAGAGCACTGGCTGCTCTTACAGATGATCCAAGCTCAGTTCCCAGCACCCACATGGCAGCTAACAACCATCCATAACTCCAGTTCCAGGGAAAACCAACACCCTCTTCTGACCTCTGTGGGTACTGCACAACAAAGGTGCACTTACATACATGCAAGTAATACACTCATATACATAAAATAAAAATAATAAAACTTTTAAAAATACATATGAGAGCCAGGCATGGTGATGCACACCTGTAGTCCCAGCACTTAGGAGGCAGAGGCAGGCGGATCTCTGTGAGTTCAAGGCCAGCCTGGTCTACATAGTGAGTTACAGGACAGCTAGGGCTACAAGGAGACCCTGCTTCAAAAAGACAAAAAACAAAACAAAACAAAACAAAACAAAAAACCATATGAGAAAAACACCCTGAGAGACCTATTAAGGCACCTGTGGTGGTCTGTAATGAGAACTGTCTCTTCATAGACTCAAGTATTTGAATCCCTGGTCCCTACTTGGTGGTGCTGTTTATAGGGAGGTTATGGGGAGGTGCAGCCTTGTTGGAGGAAGTATGTCACTAGAGGCTGACTTTGAGAGTTTATAGCCTCACCCCACTCTAGGTCACACTCTCTGCTTTGTGGTTTTAGTTGTAGATGTGATTTCCCAGTTTCCTTGCTCTGGTCACCAGTTGCCATGCCTCCCCCTTTGGAACTGTAAGCCAAAATAAACTCTTTCTTCTACAAGCTGTTTTTAGTCATAATATTTTATCACAGCAACAAAAAAATAACTAATACAGCATACAACTGGGGGTAGATCTTTGTGACTTTGATGGTGAGCTATCTTTTCTTCTCTCCTAGAATGCCACTCCTTAAAATAAGCTTGCATGTATTTAAGTGCACTACAGGTTTGTAGGAAACAAGATAAAGGGCGAGGTCCCCAATAAGACCTGCCACTCAAGTCACATCAGAGGGCATCATCAGTATGCTGTATATATTCACAAAGACCTAGTATGTATTAACATTATCCATCTTTAATTAAAATACTGCAAAATTTCATCTTACCCTGATCACCAAAATTTAACACATTCAAAAATGTCATCACATATCGCTCGCCTATAAAAAAAAAAAAGCAAAATAATCAGCATTTCAAATGTAAGATGTATTTGTTTCCTTTTCTCTTCCCACCTATCAAATTTTTCAATAGATAACCTCATTTTCTCTCTGTCTGTCTCATTCTGTCTCTCTCCCCTTTAGTCTCTTGATCTGTTTTTTTGTTTTGTTTTGTTTTGTTTTAAATTTGAGGCTGAACTTGAACTTAAGACTCTCCTGCCGTAACTTCCTGAACACTCAGATTGCAGGTGTGTGCCACCATGCCTGGTTCCAGTTGACAAGTATTTTCAGAGAAACATCAGACAACCAGTTAAAACCCAGTTGACTCTCCTAACACTGATTTCAAATAATCTCATCATAATAATTCAAGGCATGCTGAGGTTGTGGTCTCCAAGCCAAATTAAAAACGAAGATAATTTTAAAACCAGTATTAATAGCAATAAAAAATGGGGAAACCCCTCAAATGTTAATAGTGAATTTGACTGTTCCAAGTTTTAGAGGAGGTCAGATACTCTAGCATAACGGATTTGAGATGAGAAATGTCCCATGACTTTGGGAAGAGAGCTCCCTAGGGCTGACAAGGCTCTGGAGCCTCCACCAATACTCAAATCTAACTCTGGGAGTCTGTCTAACGCCTTCTGGAAGATCTCCATCCATTCCCTGGGTAGAAAAAGGCTCTTCTTCACATGTGTAAGCTCCCTTAGGGAAGGAGACCCCTCTCACTCATCTGTGTCTTTCTCTTTGGTTTCTTAGCAGAGCTCCAAGAAATGGGGTGCTCAAGAGATTTGTGCTGACTAACATCTTCAAGTGCAGCCCCACAGCCTGGGAAGAGTTACCACATAATGGTGGCAGAATGAGCTCCTCGAGGCCATGGCCTGTTTCTTATTCATCTTTAAGAAAGATGGGAGTAGAACAATATACATGCTTGCTACCTTATATACACAAAAGACAGTTCATAAAAAGGATAAGAAAAATGTACAAAAAGGATAAGATAATGAAATTATAGAATTTTCTTTATTTTTCAAAACTTCTGTCATTGACTATCATATCTATTACAATGAATTTATTTAAATGATACACTATGGACATTTCCAGTTAGACTTTGCTACAATTTGGGTCTGAAGTGCCCCCCAAAGGGCTATGTGTTGAAGGTTTGGGCCCTAGCCCATGGTGCCATGAGAGATGGAGGCCTTTAGCAGGTATGGCCTAGTGGAAGGAAGTCAGGTAACTGAAGCAAGCGCTTAAAGGATATAGTAAAACTCTGGGCCTCCCTGTCTATGTCCCACAAGCCTCCTTGAACATGTACAAGCACCATGATCTACTGTGCTGTTCAGGCCCAAAGTAGTGTGCTAAGTGACCATGAACTGAAACCTCTGACCCAGTTAGCCAGAATAAACCTCTCTTCCTTTAACACTGATTATCTGAAGTATTCTGTCATAGTAACAGAAAGCTTACTAATAAAGACTTAGGATCCTGAGCTGGGTATGGTGGTGCATACCTTTAGTCGCAGCACTCAGGAAGGCAGAGGCAGGTGGATCTCTGTGAGTTCAAGGCCAGCCTGGTCTACAAAGTGAGTTCCAGGCCAGCTGGGACTACAGGGAGACCCTGTCTCAAAAAGACAAAAACAAAAAAACAAAACAAAACAAAACAAAAAACCCAAAGACTTAGATTCCACTTAAGCTGTCCTCATTCCTATAGGATTCTAAAGCATAACTCTCAGTTTCTTCATCCCTAATAGAGGAAGAAAATATGTTTTATAAGGCAGTGGAGAAAGTTAAACTAGAAAACTTAAGTAAAGCATCAACTAAATAAATATTGGTTCAACTAAAATAAATATTTGTTTTTAAAACAAAATAACAAACCAACACATTTCTGAGGGTCTCTGCCAAGGGGCTCCAGACAAGTAGGCTGGAATCAACAGTCCTGTGAAATTCCTTTGCTTCTCCTATGATTTCCTGACTGCTCAATGTGACCTTTTACTTTACTTACCTTCTGTCAAAATCTGTTTCAAGAAAGACTGTTTGAAAAAACTCCACGTCAATTTAGCCTCTTCCCAATTGACAAAAGTCTAGAAGAGAAACAAAACACAAAACAGACAGACAAACAAACAAACAAGATTTCCAGGCATTTCAGGGTTTAGAGGCAAATTCAATTCTGTCCCATAAGCCCCAACCTGAATAGTCCCCACCGAATCCTTAATACTAAGCACACAAGACATTTTTAAAAAGCATCCATATGACAGTTGGAGTTTGGATCCTGAATGTCCCCAAAGATCATATGTTGAAAGCTTGGTCCCAGGTGCTAAAACCTTTAAGAGGTGGTACCTAGTGAGAAGTACTTAAGTCTCTGGGGTGTACTGGGAGGGGACAGTGGAATCACAGCCCTTTCTCCTTCCTCTTTCCCTTTCTAACGAGTAGGAAATCTGTTCTGCTCAGTCATGTACTTCTGCCATGATGTGCTACCTCAACACAGGCCAAAGAATCAGGGCCAACTGATAATGGATGGAGACCTCTGAAACCTTTTCTGGATGGGCATGCCTGTAAACCCACATTGAGAGGGTTGAAGCAGGAAGATTCTGAGTTCAACATCATTTTAGGCTACAAAGGGAGTTACAGGTCAGCCTGGACTACAAAGTGGGCCTTATCTCAAAAACAAACAAACAAAACCAAACAAACCCAGAAACCTCAAATAAACACATTTCCCCACCATAAATGGTAGCTCACATCTATAATCCCAACACTGAGGAGGCTGAGACTGGAGGACTGCCATGAATTCAAGGCCATCCTAAGCTACTACAAAGTGAGTTTGAGGCCAGCTGGACTATAGAGTGAGACAGTCTCCAAACAAAAATAAAAACTAAACAAAATTATCTTTATAATTTATCTCAGGCATTTCTGTCATAGTAACAGAAAGCTGACTTCCAAAGTTGGAAAGTCATACAGAAAGACCCCTAAAGAATTGCTGCTGTCTCTTTGGAGGCCCAGCAGTACATTGACCATTTCTAAAACAGCTCAGTCAGCTCCTTTTGTTAAATAATGCCTGAAGCTGTCAAGCTGCAAGACAAACCTGCTCCTTGCACTCCTTATCTTAATGCTATGTTCAGCCATGTAGGACCCTTTTGCACAAAGTCATGAGGTATGCTCACAGCCTTCCCAGGTCAGGCAAGCCACTCAGAATTGGTATGACAGGTGAAAGGAGAAAACAAACTGACTTTGATATGGTTGTTTTGAAATCGCCACGGAATCTCAAACTAGCCACTTCCTAAAGACAAAAAGAGGGTAAAGAGGAAGCAAACACTTAGGTAAGGCAGAGGTCAACCTCTAAGAGACAGGTAGTTTCAAAGCCAGACAGTTAGCCAGAAAATGTAAAGTGGAAGAGTCTCCCTCAATTAGTTATCCATAGGGACTCGTTTCTGTCACACAAGGATCTCAGATGTTCAGTTTAGATGGTAGAGTGATGTACCCAGTAGAAATGTAATATTACATTTTCTTTTTTTTATTTTAAATATTTTTTATTTATTATTTTTATTTTATGTATATGAGTGTATTGCCTGCATGTATGTGAATGCACCCATGTCATGAAATGCTGCAGAGGTCAGAAGAGGGTGTCAGATTCCCCTGGAACTGGAGTTAAGGACAGTTCGTAGCTGCCATGTGGGTGCTGGGAATCGAGCCTGGGTCCTCTGCAAGAGCGGTCAGTGCTCTTAACCTCTGAGCCATCTCTCCAGCCCCAATATTAAGTTTTCTAACAGCCACAGTGAACAGGAAAAACAGGTAAAATAAGTTTTTTTTCAAGGCAGGATCTATCTATGCAGCACAGGACAGCCTCAATTCACTATGTATATTAGTTATTTTTTCTCATTGCTGTGACAAAATACCTGACATAAGCAACTTAAGGAAGGAAAGCTTTATTTTGGCTCCCAGTTCTAAGGAGGGGAAGGCAAGACACAGCTGGTGACATTGCATCCTCAGTTGAAAAGTGAAGAGCAATGAATTCTCATGCCCAGCTCACTTTCTCCTTTTGATTTAGTTCAGGACCCCAACCCATGGGATAGTTCCACCCGCATTTAGGGTGAGCCTTCCCACCTCAATAAACCTAATCTAGAAACTCCCTCACAGACACACCCAGAGGTTTGTCTTCTAGGTGATTCTAGATCCTAGGTTGATAGTTGATATTAGCCATCATACTACATAACCCAGGCTGGCCTTGTGTTCATGATCCTCTGGCCTCAGTCTCCTGAGTGCTGAGATTACACACATGAGCCACCATACCTTGCTAATTAAAACAAAATTTTATTATTGTTGGTGTGTGCATAATATGCATAGCACATGTGTGGCGGTCAGAGGACAACTGTGCGGAGTCAGTTCTCTACTTCTACCTTTACATGGCTTCCAGGGATGGAATGCATTACCCACTGAGCCACTGTGACAGCCTGGCCTTGCTCCTTATCCTTTTGCCTACACCTCCCAAATGCTAGGATTACAGTCCTGCACTACCATACCTGCTTTATATGGTGTTGGGGATTGGACTCAGAGCTTTGTGTATGTTAGGCAAAAACTCTATCAAATGAGTGTACCCAGCCCCCTCTCTCTCTTTTTTCTTTCTAGGTAGGGTCTCAGGTAGTCCATGCAGCCTTGAACTCTTGAACATGCTATATAGCTGAGGATGACCTTGAATTCCTGATCCTCCTGCCTGTACCTACCAAGTGATGGGATCACAGGCACACTAACATGTCCAGCTTCCCAATTTTAATATATTTGACCCAAAATATTGTTCTTTCATCTTGTAATGACTATAAATATGAACAGCACTTCACATTTTTTTTCATTCTAACGTGTGAAATCCAGTATGTTTCCTGCACTTACAGTTCATTTCAAATCAATTATTCCAAAGTGCTCTACAGTCATGTGGCTGGGAGCTGGACTACCACTTTAGACAGGGCAAGCCTAGAGCACCTCCTAGAAAGCAAGGTCCTTGCAGCCTCCCTTCTCTCCTCTGGGTTCTGAACTTTTAGATATTAAGAGGTCAGGCCTGAATCTTTCCAAACTATGCTGCCTTCAGGGCATCAGTGAACTCCCGCATAGATGCCAAGTTAGTTCTAGCCCTGGAGTAAATCTTCCTCAGGGAAAAGGAAAGTAGGCCACAATATGTTTAAAACAGGCCATTTCCTTTCTCTAGAACAAAGGGTACCAGACAACACCACTAGAGGGCACTGTGGACCACTCATCTCCTGACACAGAGGGCTCATAGCCAGCTCTGGGGAAGTCAGGACACAGCACCTCCTCTCACCAATGCTCCTGGCCCACCCAAGGAATCATGGTCCTCAGGATTGGTGCTGCAGCACCTGTGCTCTTCAAAGGGAATGAAAAGTTGAAGTCTGCCCATGGGGGTCTTAGGTTTGTTCTTTTTCTTTTCAGAAACAAGGTCTTATGTAGCCCAGACTGGCCTCAAACTTGAAGCCATCCTCCCTCCTTGGCCTCCCAAGCACTGGGATTAGGTGTATGCCACCATGCAGGACCCTGTGAGGCTCTTGTTGAAGCCTACTTGCTAACAGATAGTGACTGTTTGGACAAAAGACAGAGTTCTCAAAAGACAAAGTTTTTCCGGAAAGTGAAATGACACTGAATCTATCTGAAAGTTCGTGTTCAAGGACTCCTTTCTTCTAACGCCTTCAGGTAAATGAGTCTGTAGTTCTGAAAGAATGACCACAATGCTCACTATAGCCAAAGTGTCCATTAAGAACACGTTGGGAAGAAGTCCACTCAGGCTAGGATTCTCAGTCTGCTAAGTGATAGAAAACAGGAAGCAAATTCTGGGGACTTACCATTCTGTTTAGAATGGATTTGTCACTCAAATCCAGAATGATGAAAGAGAACTATTTAACAAAGCTGAGTTGGTACTTCTGAGCTGGTCTAAGCCAGACATAAATTTCTCTGGAATCTCATAGCCTCACTGTGTTGATGGAGACACTGAGGCTTGGAAGATGAAAGGTGATAGGCAGTAACTCCAGGAAAGGCCTAGAATTGGACCTCAGAGTCCTCATCCTGCTGAGTCACACTTCACTTCCCAAACTTCTGACTCAGGATGATCTGATCAGCTGTATCCTTCCTAGACTGACAAGTCACTGAGCAGCCTGGGGCCAACAGCCCTACCCCTGCCCTCCATCACCTCTACCACCCCATATAGCACTCTTTCCTTTCCCTTTGCTTCTAGTATCCCAGTCACTCCAGGCCATTGACTCTGCCCTAGCCTTGCCCATCCTCCCATTTCCAACTACTTCATGACTGTCCTTATCAGCTCTTATCTGGAATATTGCCACAGCTTCCCATCGAGATTTTTCACATTTAACTTTTTCTCTAGCCCATCTTTTTCATTATAGGTTTAGGCTTTGGAGTCAAGCTTGAAGACTGGGGTTCAAATTGTTTCTTGACTTAGCCCAAAAGCCAGGAGCAAGATGGGAAACTTCTAAGTCTTCGTTTTCTCATCAACAAAAGAGATAAGTTCGACCTTATGAGATTAAGTCCTGTGGTAACAGGACTCAAAGGCTGAGGCATGAGGGTTCAAGGAAAAGGGCCTACTTCGTGGAGCTGGTATGAAATTGAATGAGAAAAGATGTTATAAAGCTCTTCCATAACACACTCTCAAAACCTTTCAGATGGCTGAGTGGCTCCTGCCTGTAATCCCAGCACTCAGGAAGTAGAGACAAGATAATCAGAAGTCCAAGGCCATCCTCAACTGAGAAAAAGGAAAGGCTGTCTTCAGCTGTGCCCACTGCTGAGCTCACCAGACTCTAAGAGACAGCTCCAAACCCAGTCACACAGACTCAGCATGTCACAAAATAAAATGAACAGACATGAACATGAGAAAAAGACTGTAGGAAAGAGGGGGTTGGACAGGGGTTGCAGGGAGCTGAGAGAAGGCAAGGGTAAGAGTGGTCAGTAAGCATTATATACATATGTGAAATTGTCAAAGAACAAATGTATTTTTGACAAGGCGTGGTGGCACATGTCTTTAATCCCAGTACTCAGGAGGCAGAGGCAGGCAGATCTCTGTGAATTCAAGGCCAGCCTGGTCCACATAGTGAGTTCCAGGACAGCTGGGGCTACAGGGAGACCCTGTCTCAAAAAGACCCCCCCAAAAAAAAGTATTTTTAATTTTATTTGAAGTAAACATTTCAGGAATAAATCTCTCACTACTCTAAAACAAGCTGAAAAACCAAACCAAAACGAAACTTTCATTAAGTTCCACTGCTCCCAAATGAAGCTCAAACTTTCTCACCCTGAGAGCTACTACCTGGTACAAGCCAAGCTGGTCACATTGGCCTCCCTTTATAACCTCTGCACACCCTCTGCTTCCTCTCTGTCTTCCCATCTGTCCAATTTAAGTACCTCAGTTATCTCCATATTCTCAATCTCAACACAGTGAGGGGCATAGAACAGGCTGAGCACATCTTTCTTCCTGTGGTCCCAAATCCCACCACACATACAGAGTTCACTTCTGTCCACCCATGTGCTTCCTAAATGCTCCCAGACAGAATTCACCAGTCTATCCTCTGTGCTTCTATTCTGATGACACTAGATGCACAGTCTTGCAGTGTGGTTAGCTGAGTACACAGCTGATCACTTTACCACAATGTAGTCAACACAGATTCATGCTGAAGACATGCTTGCTGTGGCGATTTCCTCAGCTTTATTTAAATATCAGAGGCTATTTCAGATTACTCCTAAGTGCCAAAGAATATAAAAGCCAGTCATTATTTGAGGTAACATATTACAAGTCTAAATAAATGTCTGTAAAGAAAATGGAATTTTAGAAGACTAGCAAGAGAAACCTCATAATTTGGTCAAATTTATTTTGAATGTGATTCTTAGACCAGTTTCACATCACACAGGGAGCCTGGTACAGAAAGCTGCCCCAAGGAGCCATTCAGGCATGCTGTCCATGGTAAAGTCACACACTGAACTGGGACTCTTCTCTTTCCCCTTTTAAAAATAATAAGCCTGAATAATTGTTCTACCTGAAACTTCCCAATCTTTAAAAGTAAACAAATAACTACCATGAGCAATAAATAAGCCAATTTCCTTTGGAAAACTGGTTAACCACACAGACCAAAATTGGTCCACAGAAAGCAATTATAGGGAAGTGGGTCCAAAACAAACTTTACGGTTTGGAGTTAGTCACTTAACTCCTCTGAACGTCAGTCCTCTCATCTGTAAAATGGAGACAATAGCATTTATCTCATAGGACCTTGCTCTGGGCCGGGCAGTAGCACTGACCCACCAGAGCTAGGAAATACAAGGCAAATGGCCTGAGAGTGAAGGAATTGAAGAGAACAAGGTTCTGCATCCCTCCACCCACCAGTACCTAACATCCTCAGTGGTCTGAATAGGAAAGTGGTCACATGAAATGCTGGCCTCAAACCAAGATTTAAAAACAAAACAAAACACTGAGGCAGGCACTATGGCACACATCCATGAAGCCAGCACTGGAGAGGCTGAGGTGGGAGGACTGACGGCTTGAAGCCAGCCTGGGATATGTAGCAAGACTGTGTCTCAAAAAAGTCAGGAAGGGGAGCTGGAAATAGGGCTCAGCAGCTAAGAGCATTGGTTGCTCTTGCAGAGAACCTAGGTTTGGTTCCCAGCACCTACATGGCAGCTAACAACTATATGTAACTCCAGTTCCAGGGGATCCAACACTCTCTTTACAGGTACTGCATACACATGGTGTACTGGCATCCATACAGGCAAAACACTCACACATTTAAAAAAAAAAAAAAAAAAAAAAAGCACAGTTAAGAGCACACACTGTTCTTGCAGAGGACTTGAGTTCAATTCCCATCATTCAACCACCTGTACCTTCTGTTCCAGGCCTCCACTGGCACACATATTAATGTGCACTACCCCCAAACATACAAATAATTTTAAAAGTTTTCAAAGTCAGGAAAGAAAAAGGAAAAACCAGTGATGATTATCCCTTCCTTCTCAGAACTCTGGACTGCCATGTCAGAAGTCAACCCCAGGAAAAGGCAAAAGGAAAAGACAGAGCCAAGAGTGGACACAGGCATCTGAGCTCCTGTCTTCACTCTACCCTCACCTTGGACAAGTACTCACTTGCTTAGCCTTAGCTCCTCAACTCTAAAATACAAATAGTAACAATGCCAGCCTCTCAGAATTTTGTAAACATTCAGTGAGGTATGTGAGTGTTCATAGGCCCAGCACAGTTTCTCTCAACTGAGGGTGGTTTGGCCTCTGAGGACATGTGGCAGTGTCTGGAGAGGTTGCTAGGTACTGCACTGGTAGGGGGAATTGCTACTGGTATCTGGAGGCCATGGATGCTAAACATTCTATATGTATACACCAATCCCTACAACAAAGAATTCCCTGCCCAAAATGTTACCAGTGCTAAGATTTGGAATTCCTGACCTGGCATGTGGCAGGCACTCAATAAATATGATGGACAAAATTATCTTTTTTATGATAACAATAAGCCAATTGCAGTTTGTTTAACCCAAGGATAACCATCAACTGTGAATAAAACAGTAAGAGACAAAATGCATTACTCACTCTGCTTCTAGTAATATTAGGTAACAGATCTGTTATTCTGGAAACAGGAAGAGTTTGTTGCTTGGTTAATTCTGGGGAACGCAGTACTTTTGTGAAATATGTAACGTAGCAGAGCACCAGAACTGCAGTATAAAAAAGCTGAAACAAGACAATAATGGTTGAAATTCAACTGTTTTAGTATAGGCATAATTACAACAGGCTTATAAATGTGATCTCAAAGGTCAATCATGAAATAGGGCTGTCTTGTCAGGCATGGTAGCACACACCTTTAATCCCAGCACTCAGGAGGCAGAGGCAGGTGGATCTCTGTGAGTTTCAGGCCAACCTGGTCTACATAGTGAGTTCCAGGCCAGCCGGGGCTACACAGTGAAACCCTGTTACAAAAAAACCAAAAAAAAAAAAAAAACAAAAAACAAGGGCGGGAGGGAGGGAACTGTTAATTAACTAGACTTTCTAAGGCACCGCACACCACTCTCTCACACCCAGCTCTACTGCAGCAACCCCATGCACAGGCTCCAAACCCTTCTCTTGGCTGGAAAACATAACTGCCATGGCAGATAGCCACTAGCCCAACTGCTACAATGTCAAATAAGTTCTCACAAGATTGTATTGGCCATAGGAGCAGCTCTCACTACCCACTCAGCATACTGTAGGACCAGGTGTGCTCTGATTGTGTTGATAGCCAGGAATTTGCCACCATCTAGGACCAGATTTTCCATAAACCCCGGAACCTGTGACATTCATGATTACAAAGCAGAACTGAGCTACAGGCTCTCCCATCTCCACCCAGTGCATGGGCAGGGCAACAGCTACTCCAAGCTGGGGAGGAAAAGGTGGTATCATAGGAGGGCCCACCTCACCCTCCACCCATCTAGAACTAAAGAATGGCTTCTGGCCAAGAGCAGCAGTCCAGCTTTTGTTTGCAGGTTGGGGTAGAGTATCCAAAAGGGCCCCTTTTCACAAGCTCCCTTCCCTGTTCCTGCTGAGAGCAGCCATGAATACTAGCTCGAAGACTGGGACCTCCAGGTCCCTTTCAACTTGTCCATCCCAAGGCTACTGCTGTCAAAAGGCATATGGCAGGGAGAAAGAGTTGTGGTTTGGCAGATGTGAGGATTTGAATGAGAAGTGTCCCCCATTGGCTCAAGAATTTGAGCACTTGGTCAATTGGAGATGCTGTTTTAGGAGGGTCATGGAACCTTTAGGAGGTATGGCCTAGCTGGAGGAAGCATGTCACTGGGGGAACTTTGAGAGTTCATAGCCTTGCCCCACCCCACTTCTACTTTTGCTTTTTGTGCTTCCTGGGAGTGGCTGAAGATGTTAGCACTCAGCTTTCTGTTCCAGGTATCTCTGACTCCATGCGTCCCTGCCATCATAGACTCTGATCCCTCTGGAACTGTAAGCCTAAATAAACGCTTCCTTCTATAAGCTTCCTTGGTCATAGTGTTGTTTTGGTTTTTTGGCATTTTTGAGACAGGGTCTCCCTGGAGCCCCAGCTGTCCTGGAACTCGCTATGTAGACCAGGCTGGTCTTGAACTCATAGAGATCCGCCTCCATGCTGGTCATAGTGTTTTATCACAGCAACAGAAAAGTAACTGGTATAGCGGGTTTAATCTATACTCTCTACCATGCCTAAGGATGGAGCCCACCATCCACCAGCCTTCTTCATTCAGGCTGCAAGCCCTTAGAGAACAGCAGCGTGGCACTGAGCCACACCACCCAATGCCAATGTCCCCTGTGATATGTACCCTTCTCGACCTCTCATTTTTCTGTTGAGCAGAGTTTTGGGGAAACGGATGACAACCTATAGGTAATCCGAAGGCAGGGTACCACAACCACAGGACCCTCCCACACTTCTTCACTGAGGAAAAATTCACATAAAAAAGGTCATCATTTTAACTAAATGATTCAGTAGCTTTTAGCACATTCACATTGTTGTGCAATCATCACCACATCACCACTATCTAATTCCAGAATATTTTTATCACCCCAAAAGGAAACTCTGTACCCATTAAGCAATTACTGCCCATTCCCCCATCACTTAGCAACAACCACTAATCTGCTGTCTCTGTGGACCTGCCTACCTGGGCACTATACATTAATGAAATCATACAATGTGTAGACTATTGTGTCTGATAATGTTTTCAAGGTTTATCTACATTGTAGTATGTATCAAAAAAAATTTTAAGACTGTTTTTTATCATGAACCTCTAGGTGGACTAGAACTCACTATATAAACTAGGTGGCCTCAAACATGCACCTATTCTCCTGCCTCTGCTTCCAGTGCTGCAATTACAAGTGTGTGCCATTATGCCCAGCAATTTTTATAACTGAATAATATTCCACTGTATGGATACGCCAAATTTTTGTTTGTCTAATTCACTAGTTGATGGGCATTTGGTTATGTATATACCTTTTGGCCATTGTGAATAGTATTATGAACACTCACATACAAGTTTTTATTGAATCTGTTTTCAATTCTCTTTGGTGTATAAACTTAGAAGTAGAAATGCTGGGTCATATGACACATGTTTAACTTTTATAGGACTGTTATACTGTTTTCCATGGCAGCCACATTTTATGTGCCTACTAGCAATGAACCAGAGTTTCAGTTTCTCTATAACCTTATCCATACTTGTTATCCTCTATCTTAAAAAAATAAAGATGCCCTATGAAGTGGTACCCACTATGGTTTTAATTTGCATTTCCCTAATAATTATTGATGTTGAAGATTTTTTCATGTCCTTATTGACCATTTATTTGTATACTTCTTTGGAAAAGTGTCTATTTGTGGTGGTTTGAATGAGGAGGTTCCCCCATAGGCTCCAAGTATTTGGACATTTTGTCTACATTTGGTAGCCCTGTTTTGGGGAGTTTTCAGAGGTGTGGTCTTGTTGAAGGAAGCACATCACTGGGGACAGGCTTTGAGAGTTCTTAACCCTTGCCAGATTTACAGTTTTTCTCTGTGTCCTGTGCCTGCTTGACGATGTGATCTCTTGGCTTTCTGCTCCAGCCACTTCTGCCACCATGCCTCCCACCATTATGGACTCTAACCCTCTGAACCGTAAGCCAAATAAACTTGTCCTTCTATAAATTGCCTCAGTCATGGTGCTTATCACAGTAACAGGAAAGTAACTAATACACTATTCAAATCCTTTGCTCATTTTTTAAAAACTGAGTGGTTTGTCCTTTTATTGTTGAGTTATAAGAATTATTTATTTATTCTGGAGTGAGCTTTATGGCCAGTTTAAGGATGAGCTTAGAAGCAAGTATGACAAAGGGGAACCTCAGTGCCCTGAGAGGGGTACTTGCTCCTATAAGGTGTTGCTGGCTCTTAATGCTCTCGCACAGACACTTGACAGTGATTGTATGAGAGAAGAGCTCTTAAAAGTCTTATGGTAAAAGCCGGGCGTGGTGGCCCATGCCTGTAGTCCCAGCACTTGGGAGGCAGAGGCAGGCAGATCTCTGAGAGTTCAAGGCCAACCTGGTCTACACAGTGAGTTCCAGGACAGCTAGGAGACCCTGTCTCAAAAAGACAAAAAAAAAAAAAAAAAAGTCTTATGGTAAAGAAACACATAAATGACCTGTGATGTATCCATGGGTGGGAGCCATGACATCAGAAACTCAGAAAACAGCAAGTGCTTTTCCTCAGAACAGTTGCCATACTGGATGTCTCTGTGGCCCTTTTACCCTACTAGAGAGAATGCATAAAAGCAACGATATGATAAAAACTGTAGCTATAGAGCCAATGAAATATGGCAAAAAATAACCAGTTACAAACCAGAGCCAGGCATAGTGGTAGCTGCCTATAATTCCCTATCTTGGAGGGCTGAGGCAAGAGAATCAGGAGCTCAAGGCCAACCTGACAAGGCCCTGTCTCAACAAAACAAAACAAAAGAAACAAAAATAAAGCCTACAAACTGCTTTTTATTATAAAATGTCCACAAAATATATGATGTTAGGTTCCATTAAAAAAAAAAACCACTGTTCTCTAATTATATTTTTAGTAGAGCTGAACTATGAATGAGAGTTAGAATATAAAATAGAAATAAGGATAAATTTGCTGAAAACGCACTTGCTCTGACTTGATTCATTTTCTCTGAACTATGTGAGATTTCCATCTAAGTTTAAAACAGGCTTGGCAGAGTTTCCTCCTATTCTTCAAACAACTGATTGAAATGCAGGGAAAATAATTCACATACAATTTGATTCCCACCCCACCCCCTATTTTTTTTCTCCTCATAAGACTGTTAGACAATCAACAATCAGTCTTCCCACAGAATGTCTAAATGCCATTTTTGATGTTTACAAAGTGGAAAATACGTGGCCCTCCCCAGGTCCCTGAGGAGCAGTGGTGTGTGTAGAACAGGATGGATATGACAGCTGGAGAAGTGGTGGCAAGGCTAGCAATCTGGAGTTTCCAACTTTTCCCACATGCACAAATACTGTGAATATAAAACACACAGTAGTGGGAACAAGAAGGAAAAACAGAAAAATGCACATTATATAGAAAGCAAAAGCCATGACTCTTACCTGAGCCAGAGAGAAAATGAACAGACCCCAGTGAGGCAACCACAGCACCAGAAAAGCTGTCAGGACACTCCTGAGGATGACTGCCATGCTCTCCGCAATTACCTGCAAACAGAGGCAAAGGTGCAACATGATCAAAAAGGAAAGACGAAAAGGAATGACAGATAGAAAACTCAGTGTGGTGGTTACCCTGGGCAGTGGAGATGGGTCAGGGCTGGACCTAAGCATCAACAGCAATGTTCTGTTTCACGGGATACGTGTGTGGCATACATCTTCGGTATATTATGCCATAAGATTTATATATACATACACATAAATATGTATGTGCTAATATGCATTAAATAATGTATCTTTTAAAAGAAGAAACGAAACATTGACATTAGCATCAACCAAATAGGATCACTCAAAAAACCTGAAGTGCTTTATAGCTCTCCTAAATTTTTTTTTTTTTTGGTATTTTTGAGACAGGGTCTCCCTGTAGCCCCAGCTGACCTGGAACTCACTATGTAGACCAGGCTGGCCTTGAACTCATAGAAATCCACCTGCCTCTGCCTCCCAACTGCTGGAACTAAGGGCGTGAGCCACCATGCCCAGCTTAGAGCTCCTAAATTTTTATTCAAACTCTTAGCTTCCTTATTACAAAACCTGTTTTTCAGGGCTGGAGAGATAGCTCAGCAGTTAAGAGCACTAGCCTCTCTTGCAGAGGTCCCAGATTTGATTCCCAGAACCCACATGGCAGCTAACAACCATCCATAACTCCTTTCCAAGGGATCTGACACCCACTTCTAACCTCCACTGGCACTGCACGACACAGGTGCATTTACACACATGCAGACAATACACTAATATACATAAAATAATAAAATATTTTTTTAAAAAATACAAAACCTGCTGGGTGTGGTGGCGCATGCCTTTAATCCCAGCACTTGGGAAGCAGAGGCAGGCAGATCTCCGTGAGTTAAAGGCCAGCCTGGTCTACATAGGGAGTTCCAGGACAGCTGGGGCTACAGGGAGACCCTGTCTCAAAAAAACCAAAAAAAAAAAAAAAACCCACAAAACCTGTTTTCCATTTATAATAGAGCAGAGGTAAACATTTTCCCCCTCTGGGTTTGTATGTATGATATATGTATGTGTACATGCTCATGTCTGTGTAGGTACATAAGCATGGGCATGCGGAGGCCGGAGAACAAGGCCAGGGGTCTTCCCCTTCTCTACCTGACTGTTTGAGACAATCTCTCACTGCACCTGGAACTTACTGTTTCAGCTAGGCTGCTGGACAGGGAGCCCTGGGATCCTCCTAACTCTGTTGGGATTAAAGGCCTGGCTTTAAACGTGGGTGCTGGGATCTGAGCTCAGAGCCTCATTCTTATACAGTAAGCACTTTGATGACTGAGCCACCTCCCCAGCACCTCCAATTTTTCTTTTGGTCTTTTTGAGACAGGGTTTCCCTGTAGCTCCAGCTGGCCTAGAACTCACTATGTAGACCAGGCTGCCTTGAACTCACAGAGATCCACATGCCTCTGCCTCCAAAGTGCTGGGATTAAAGGCATGCACCACCCCACATTTTTTTTTTTTTAGGTAATATCTCTGTATGACAACTAGGCTAGCCTTGAATTTACCATCCCCCTGCCTCACTCCCCGGAGTGCTGAGATTATAGGAATTCACCACTATGCCCCAACTGGAAGGGACAAACTTTACCAATGCCCATCTGACAAATTTCAAGTAATGAACTTATCATGTCATCTTTTTCCAATTAGTTTTGTACATTCAAATCTGGAACAGTCATTCTCTCCCATAAATGCATTTTAAAATGCCACACTTTTCCTGATTGTTCACATTTCCTATTCACAAGAGGTACACTGACCTTGAGCTTAACGAACATGTATGATTGTGCCAAGACCCAGAAAGGCTCTCCTAGAAGTTCCACCACTGCTGAGACACCAAACAGCACAACTCCAGTTCCATAGTTGGCAACCACATTTGGATCAGGCACCTCAAGCAACTGCAACCAGATCCAGCCCAAGAATAAGGACCAAAACACACCCAGGGGAACTCTAGAAGAATAGAAAATATTTTTCTTAATACACTAAGTTTTTTAAAAAAGTATGAAAATACAGTAAAAACAGTAATATTCAACAGAAAAAATAGTCATAATAAAACAATTACCACAATAAGCAGCTGTTGGCAGGTAATGCGGGCATCACTGTGTGCCTGGCACTATAAGTAAAGGCCTTTGTCTCACTGACACCTCACAAAGATCCTCAGTACTGTCCCCATTTAGAAGCTGAGGAAGCTGAGGCTGACAAGGACTGGTAATTTGACCAATGTCATGAACAGAAGTGGACCCAATCCTGATCTAACTGCAAAGTCTATACTCCTATCTACTGGGTTATACTAAGTCAGTTAGGAACCCCCTCCCCCCCAAAAAAAGTCTGTTGCCTGTGTTCAGAATGACTGAAAGATGTTATACAGCTGGTCCTTGTGCCCCAATTAACCAAGAGTCTATGATACAGCATCCATTTCATGTGTGTAACATAGAGCACTTAGTTGTGAATATGCAGTTCACAGTCATTTTCTGATAAAATGAACACTTGCCAGCCCTTCTGACAGTCATTTCTGTGAGGCAATAAAGAATTATGCAAGGGCAGCATTGGGAAACAACATCTACCACCAGCCTCCCTGCAGGCATCTAGCTGCAGAAAAGCCATTATAATTTTCAGCAGACAAACTTGGTCTTAAAGAACATTCTAAAAAGCTCAGAACTGAAATCACATAACAAAATTAAAGAAAGGTGTAGTGAAACCCTTAAAAGACTTTTTAGAAATACTAAGTAGTTGTTAAAAGCTCCAAAGATGGGTGCTGGAGGGATGATTCAGCAGTTAAGAGCATTTACTCCTCTTGCAGAGGACTTTAGTTTGGTTTCTAGCACCCACCTGGCAGCTCACAACTGCCTGTAACTCTAGTTCCAAGCTATCTAACACCCTCTTCTGGCCTCCAAGGGCAACCAGGCACACATGCACACAGTACACATACATACAGGCAGGCAGGCACTCACACAACCATATAAAATAAATTTTGTTTAAAAAAGGGCAAAAAGATTAGGAATAAAAACAATGGAGCAGGAGGCCAGAAGACCCACCAAGAACCTTCTCCCAGTTCTCGAAACCCAGAGAGAAAACAAACCAGGAAGCTTCTCTAACTCAAGTCTTTCTATGATTCCTGCCCTATACCTAGACCCAGAAAAATGCTGCAAAACCTAGTCTGAGACAGTTAACTCTAGGCAGGAACTGCCATTTCACTTACAACACCCTCTATACTTGCTTTCCTGAAACTTGTCATCTGCCCAAATACAACTCACGTTAGCCACAGGAGGTTAAGAGTTTGACTCCAGTTCCGCTGGGCACTCCCACTCAGGCAAGCTCTGCGGAAGGCTTCTCTGGCCAGGAAAATGGTGGTTGAGTAAAGCAGTGTTAATCTGTAAAGGAAAAGCAGAAATTGGTGAGGCTTCCAGGTTTTGTTTTGTTTGAGTAATTACTTTTTTTTTTTTTTTTTGAGACAGGGTCTCCCTGCAGCCCTAGCTGGCCTGGATTTGCTATGGAGACGAGGCTGGCCTCGAACTCACAGAGATCTGCCTGCCTCTGCCACCTGAGTGCTGGGATTAAAGACATGCACCACCACGCCTGGCATAATTACTTTTTTTATTGAAAGAATCTCAGATTTTTTTCCAGCAACAGGGATAAGTAAAGTCCTTGGTCATAAACCACTGGTGGCACTGGTGAGCCTAGTAGCACAGACCTGTGATCCCAGTTACTAAGGCAGGAAGATCGTAAGTTCAAGACCTGCCTGGGCTACAGAGTGAGTTGAAGGTCAGTGTGAACAACTTAGTGAACTCTGACTCAAAACAAAAAGCAAAAGGGGGTGGCTGGAGAGATGGCTCAGTGGTTAAGAGCACTGACTGCTCTTTCAGAGGACCCGGATTCGATTCCCAGAACCCACATGGCGGCTACGAACTGTCCTTAACTCCAGTTCTGGGGGAATCCGAAGCCCTCTTCTGATCTCAGTAGCATTGCATGACACAGGTGCACTCACATACACATAGGCAATACACTCATACACATAAAATAAAAATAATAAAATATTTTTTAAAAAAGAGAGGAGACAGCCAGGCGTGGTGGCGCACACCTTTAATCCCAGGCAGAGGCAGGTGGATCTCTGTGAGTTCAAGGTTAGCCTGGTCTATC